ATGAATGATAATCTTGCAATATTTTCCCAATCGCGTCGGATGAATAAAAATTTCCCTTGGCTTTACAGAGCAGCGACTACTTCTCGCTTCCGGCAGTGGGAGGAATAACGGGCCGGTGCTACCTCGGCCCAATGAAAGCTTGATAGATGATGAGCTGACCCCAATTGGACAATCACTTTTTGTACATTTTTTTTTTTTTATTTTCAAATTTACTTTTCTTTTTGCTTTCGTTATTTTATTTTATTTTATTTTCCATGGAGGCTATGTGTTTTTTTATATTCATATTTTTTTTTTTTCCTTTTCTTTTTTCAAACATATTTTATTTGCCCACAGGTTTTACTCGGTACTGATTAGTCAAATTGAAACATTTTCTGTCTTGTAAAAGAGAATCTGTCATTCACACAATGTAGTTGATTTGTTAATATGTCATGTAAGAAGAAGAAAAAAAAAAAAAAAAAAAAAGTTCTTCAACAAATGAAACCAAACAAACATGCACTCCAATTACATAGATTCAGAATGCAGACACATCCTGGGCTTCAACTCTCAGACTTCAAAACATTATTACAATCCATATCATTAAGAATGACTCAACCCTTCTTAAGCCCGGTTCATCACTTTTTCGACCCGTTCCTTCTCCTCGTTCAAACCCTTCTTATCGAGAAATTTCACCAAAATCTTATACGCAAAATGCTTCGGTACAAAACCCTTATCCACCATCTCCACAAAAAATGAGCACGCCTTACCCACATTCCCACTCCCACACAGCCGTCTGACCAAAAGCGAATAAGTCCCCTGATCAAGGCTCACGTCGTTTTTGAACATGTGACCCAACAAAAACGAGAGCACCTTCATTCTCCCCAACCTGCAGCACATTTTCAATAAGGGCGAGTACGTATAGATATTTGGCCTGCATTTATTTTCCTCCATTTGCTTAAGCAAATTAAGTGCCTTCTCCTCTTGAGACCCATTAGAGGCAATGATAATAAGCATATTGTAAGTCCACACATCGGGAACCACCCCTTGCTTGGACATGTCATCAAAAACCTCGTCAGCATCTTCAACCCTGCCTGCTCGACTCAGAGCACTAATGAAGGCGGTGTAGAACGGGGCATTGTGCGGGCAATTGTTAGTCTTCATCAATTCATAAATCTCCATGGCTTTATTTATTTCCTTTGCTTTTCCATAGGCCTTCATCATGATGGTATAGGTCGCCACATTGGGATTAATACCATCTCTCTCCATTTCCACTAAAGTGGAATCAACTTTACGAAAATCCTTTTCGCGACAGTAGCTCGCGATGAAGCTAGTGTAGGTAACAGTGTCAGGGCGGAAGCCGTGGGCCCGCATCTCGTCCACGGTTTTTCTAGCCGTCTCGATTTGCCCGATTCTGCACCAACCGCGGACCAGCATATTGTAGGTATGTTTAGTCGGAGGAATATTATCTTTAAATTTGAAATAAACTCCCTCGGCGTGCTCAACACTGCCTTGTTCTACTAACTTGTAGATTAATATATTTAAGGCAATTATATCCTTTTCAATTCCGAATAATTCCATACTTTCGAATGCCTCGATCGCGTCCTCGTACTTTCCGCCCTTTACAAGACGCCTCATGATTTTCGTCATTGTGTCCGAAGTGAAGCACCCTTCTAGCATTTTCATTTCCTCCGCCAATTCCCACATCTTCTCAAATTTCTTTGCTTTCCCCAAATTGTCGATCAATAGGTTGTAAATTCCAGGCGGGTGTTTAAACCCGTTTCGCGACTCGGCCCACTTGAAGAAACCGAGGGATGGGACCCACTCATGGCTAAATCTACAGAGTATTTCCTCAACCAGGTCCTCGGACAAATCAACATCACAACCCTCTAATGCTTCAATAACTAAATCCGGGGATTTGAATTGGCTGCTCTTTAGGATGCTACTAATCTTGTCCACATCACTCTCGATAATGTCATTCACAATAATTTTC